TTTTTTTTTTTTTTTTTTTTTTTTTTCCCCCCCCAAAAAAAAAAAAAAAAAAAAAAAAATCAATTATCACAGAGGGTTGTTCCAGAGTAAAACATTTTATCATTAGCCAATTAGAAAGAGCATAAAAATTTTCAAGGTCGCCATTTTGTCTTTTTATTTCAAAGGTCCATTGTAAATTATTCTATTTTAGACAAGTAATCATTGAGAAGTTTCTTACCTCCTATTTCAGAGTCCTTGAATGCATAGTATTTCTCCAGGATATCTTGCCTCATTTGAACAACTTCTGACCATCCTTGTACATCACCCAACTTTTCTGATGTCAAGTGTTTTATAAGTTTCTTTTGAAAAGACTTGACATTTCCTAGAAGCTCAATGGGTATATCTGATAATAAATATATGAATTTGTCATCAAATTTAAAAAAATCATCTTTAAGTTCAGTAATAAATTTTTTCCTATCATCAGCAAGAGATTTTCCATAGATAGTTACAAATGTAGTCTCAAATATTACTGAGCTGCAGAATGTCCACAGGTACGCCGTCTTCCAATTTGTGGTTTTAAGTCGTTGGGGTTCAAAAACTTGTTGTAGGTGCTGCATCACATCTTCCAAGAGTATATCCAAAGATTTCCCTTGTAAAAGTTTATAGCAGTCATGAAGTTCATTGCTCATGTCCTCATTGGTCACCAAATTATGGATGGCAAATGCTTTCCTTACTAAATTCTTACTAAACAATTGAAAGCTTAATTCTTGATTTTTCATCATTAACGGGAACTGGTAAGGGTCCAGAACAAACGTAATGTACTTTCCTAAAAGAAATGAAGAAATTAGCTCATTTGGTAGCAAAACAAACAGCCCCCCCAAAAAAATTTTGAAAATATTTTAATGAAAATTAGATCTTAATAACTAACATCTAAGAAAGTACAAAGTTTAATAAAAATCCATTTCATTCCAAGGTCCACTACATGTCTCCTTTTAAAATGGAAGATGGTGGGAAAAACTCTAGAATCTTAAATTCTGAAATTCTTAATGAATTAATAAGACATAGTATAGGTCCTGGCAGGGTAGCTCAGTTGTTTAGAGCATCGTCCCAAAGCACCAAGGTTACAGGTTCAGTCTCTGGCCAGGGCACATATGAGAATCAACCAATGAATGCATAGATGTGGGGAACAACACATCAATGTTTCTCTCTCTCTCCCCCTTCCTCTCTCTCTAAAAATCAATTTTAAAAATTTTAAAGTAGTGTACTCTTCAAATTTTTATTTTAACTAAGTACTCAAATATTTAAATTACCCTTTAAATATTCTCACAATCCCTTGATTTAAGCACTTCTCATATTTTCTCTCCAATAACAAAAACAAATAACAAATCAAGTTGGTAAGATGCCATTCCATTATTGCTTTTTTTAAAAAAAATGTCTTCACTATATATATGTTTTTAGAGTATATCTTTATTGATTTCAGAGAGAGGAAGGGAGAGAGAGAGAGAGACAGAAACATCAATGATGAAAGAGTCATTGATCGGCTGCCTCCTGCACACCCCTGCCTGGGGACCGAGCCCGCAACCCGGGCCTGTGCCCTGACCAGGAATCGAGCCTCGATCTCCTGGATCCTAGGTCGATGCTCAATGGCTGAGTCACACCAGGCCGGGCTCCATTATTGATTTTTTATTTACACTTCATAAAGAGATTTTCCACACTTGGTATCATCTTAGCTTTGGCTGGATACAATAATTTTAACTCAAATAAATAAAGATGTGGTTTGAAGTGGTTACTCACAAAGGAATTCCTAATTCAACACTAATAGCAAATCACAGAAGGCCAGCATATTCATTTTCATAGATGAGAAAACAGTGGTTCAGGGAGATTTAGTAACATGTCCAAGGTCACACACTGAAACAGAAATTCAGTCTAGAACCCATTCATTCATTCAAATATTCATTCAACTTTTATTGAAATCCAGACACTTGGTTGGATCTCTTTCCTCTTGAGCTATAAAGATTTAAAGAAAACACTGTATTATATGGATAGTGATATAGCAGAGTTGTGAGGCAAAGAGTATAATCTGCTTTCGTCTGCTTTCAGGAGTTGTTAGAAAGGATTCTTTGAGGTGGTGACATTTGGTCTTTTCATACATATATCAGTGTTGTACAACCTTATCTGACTCAAAGACTTAAGGTGCTGATGAAAACTACAGATTCCTTCCTGATTCTGATTCATCAGGCTTGGAGTACTCTAGTACTATTTTAAGGCTCCTTCTAATTATATGTAATATGCTGATAATATTCAATAATAGCATTTAATAAGTCTTTCCTTCCCAAGAACATACATGAAGTTTAGAAGCTCCTACACAATTTAATCCTACTTATTGGCTTCTAGAAAAACAATAAATAATCAGAACTTGAAGTATGTAGGATCATTTACACTTTCCTCTTAACCTTATCATTCCTCTGTGAAGATAAATAATTCTCTCTTGTTATTTATGGTAACTCCAACAGCATCTCAGAACTTACATTTAATTTGGTAAAAGATTTAGGATAAAGTTTTGAATAATTTTCAGTCTAATCCTAGAAACAAGATAAATGTTTTCTTTTTGTTTTATAATTTTAAAGCATAAGTTAAAGTTTTTAATATACATAGAAATACATGTGCCATTATTTTTTTCTAAAAATAAATCATATGATTTATATTTTATTTATTCTATTTCCTCCTGATTTACTTAAGAGTAAAGCTAGAAATGATTATTCATTCTTGTCAGATCCCAAAGCTTCATCTACAAAATAAACTCAACTGTTTTTCCCCCTGGAGAGAGGAAAAAGGACTCCACTAGATTGGGCATATTTGATGACGTGTATTTTATGACACCTGTTTTACCATGGGAGCTCAATTACATAAAATTGACTCTATCTGCCTGACCAATAATTGGAAAAAAATAAATTCTCTTATTTTTCAAAGGCAAAACCTTAGGCAAAGCTGTGTATTTTCACAGGTGGTGATTCATACTTTTCAACTTTTGCTAAATAAAAGGATTTTGCTAAATATCTTTAGAGTTATTTAAAAATTGTCACTAAAGTTCAGAGAATGTATAAAAGGCTCTGTTTATAAAACATACATCAGAGTATATTTTGAAATTTTTCCTATCAATTTTCTACAATCATCAAAATTGAATTAGATAGACAAAACTATATTCAGCCATGACAGCACAAGTGACTGGCCACCAGCCTACTAAAGTCCAGGCCATACGCAGGTTAGAGTTTTTGTCTACAATTCATTACAAACACTTATTTATTCCCCCTCTTCCTTTCTTTGTCTCTCTTTAAGGGTGAGGATATGGGAAGAAACTATAAAATTAATTTCAAATAAAAGAAATAAAAGCTAAATGTGGGAAAACATTCTGATTAGCAACCAATTATTAATTATTTTTTTAAATAAGCAGTTGTTGCATTTAAGGCTCTCTGATGTAAAAATTGTTACCGATCAATTTCAAGCAATTTAATTGTAGATAAAATTTCCACTGTTTTCCAGACTCTTTACATTTCGGGATCTTTATTTTCTCTTTCTCACTCGTATTTTAATTTTCTTTCAAATCAAGGCATTGTGTTTTATCTATCTTTCTGAGTAAGATATGGATTTCTTTAAAAGTGGACGTTTTGATTTTCTGGATTTTACTCTTCAAGTGGGTTTGGAAGTACTAATAACCCTGGAAATGTTAGCTGGCTTTCCAACTTCTAATCTTCAGTATAAACAATTTAAGCTAAGTTTTCCAAAATTAATATTAATTTAAACCATCTGTCCACCATCTGTTAATGTGAGATGCAAAACCAGAGTTTCTTTGTAATCTTTAATCAGACAGTTAGGAAAACACATATACATTCATAAAATAAATTTAAATTTCTTAACAAAGGGAATCTGAAAAGTTATTCTGAAGGCCATGGATTCTTGGAGCAAAATTAACTGTTCCTCTAGTGTAATTTTATGTAAATGAATAGCAAAGTGTCAACAGGCAAATGCCTTGTTCACAAAGATCACAAGGTAAAAACAATATCCTTTGCCATGTTTTTCAAAACAGAAAAGAATGGCATCTAAAATACAAATGTCAAAATGAGGCTCTTTTACAATATCATCCTTGTGAGCTGTATATTTGAATTTGAAATAGGGTAAAAAATTTTAATGTTTTCTTTACCAATCATTTCATTCTCTCCCCTTTTTAGGAGCTGCCTGGGTCTTGAGATGTTAACTCTAGTTTCCTGCATAACCTGTGCACAGGCTACCTGAACTCACCAGCCTTTTCACTTACTTCAAAAGCACTACTTCCTTCAGGAAGGTGAAACTATGTGAGGAAAGTATGTCATAAATGTCAAAAAACAAATCAGCTCACTTACAACTGGTGTCTTATATACAGGAAGTTTGACATCTGGATCATTATAAATTGAGTTTTGATGTTTTCATTTCTGATATTTGGTGCTTTACAGAGACACTTCCATGGGAATTCAGAACAATTATCTGACTATTTGGAGTAGAAATGGCCAGTCAACAAATCTGAGGCAAATTTGAATTGTAAAGAAATTTTCCATAACTATAAGCGTTTAATCTCCATGTTTAGCTGGTATATATATGTGTGTGAGTGTGTGTGTGTGTGTGTGTGTATATACATACACATTAAATATTAAATATATATATATATTTTAAATCTCAAGTTGAAAATATTAGTTGGAGGAGTGGAATATGAACCAACTTTTTATTTTACAAGACTGACCACATTTACATAGTCCCCCTCTTATTAGGGAGATTTCACTAGCTGGTGACAATGACGTACAGTGCTGCTTCACCAGGATGACATCTAGGGAAAATGACTCTGCGCCCCACCACACAAAACCAATTAGAGAACTATTTTCTGCGACAGGCGACGAATTTACGTAGTTTCTCATGAAAAGATGCACCTCTTAATTTCTTTATTAAGATGACATCCACGTCCCTTGAGACTTTTGGGAATGACAATCATTTGCTCATCACATAAGAACATTACTTGCTAAAATCACATTACGGAACAAGGGTGGAAGACTATTCCTAATTTCACATTTTTCCAAATGAGCTATTTTGCAAACTGATCATCAGAACCATATACATTAATAGGACATCTTGGCAGGAATTTACTCAAACTCTAGTAAGAAGGCAAAGAGAAGCAATAGCACATATTCTACTGTGGTCGTCTAACGTGGAGTTCAAAAACATAACCATAGTCAAATTATGTAGACGTTAGAAATTCAGCAAGATTGTCAGTATCTAAAACTAAGATACCAAGTTTCAGCAGAAATCAGTTGTTTTCTGAAAAGTGAATACAATTATTTAAATCTGCCAGAAGTTTCTGCTTAGGTTATTTCTGTATAATGCACTTTAAAAAGAAAACTAAAATTTTCAATAATGTGTTATATCTACCCATTAGAACATAAGGTTGAATTTTTTTAAAGTGACCTTTTTTAATGAAGCATATAGTTTTGTATTATGAAGCCAAAAGCTCAATTAGAGTAGAAGAACCAGCTATGGCCTTTATTTGTATTCTAGTAAGTATTTCATCAGCTCTAAGGTATTGGGAAATTCCTCATCAATCATTTATTATGAATCAATAAATGCTGGGCTCTGGACGAAATGTTGGCAATAGAAGAGCTAGCGAATAATGAAGGGGAAATAGACAAGTGAATTAGCAACAAATTCACAATTTATTAACTGCTATGACAGACGTGATACTGGGAGGAGCGAGACTGGGGGAGAAGCATCAGCCTGACATGGAACGGTGAAGCGGTCAGTGAAGGCTACCGGGAGGAAGCGACACTGACTATGGCCTCAGATGATGAGACCAGGTCAGCTATCTTTTGAGGATAACTCACAAGGAGAAGATGAGCATTCTGACAGAATAAACAGCAAGAGAAGACCCAGGGGCACCAAAGGGCATGGTGTGCGAGGAGATTTCAAATCACTTGCTGCATTAATGGTGCGCTAAGCTCAAGGCAAGCGGTGGAAAGAGGTGAGGCTGGGGAAGCAGATGGAACCCTGACTTCGGAAACCCTTGCGAGGATTATGTTATATATTATAATTTCTCTCTTTCCAAGATGTGTGATTTTTTTCCATCTCAATTTTTCTGGAATCAGAGTGCATACAGTTACTTTTGGAAGAGACTTGCCAGCTGCCAGGTAAAGGAGGAAGTGGGATGAAACGAATCCTGCCTGCCCATGTTGACAAGCTCATCCAGCTGGATCATCTTTTCCTCCCAATTACATTAAAATGGTAGTGATGATATGAAACCTCTCTATGTATCAGAAGGTAGCTTCTGATATTCAGCAAGTAGTTACAGTAAGAAGAAATTAACTAAGCTCTTTACGGATAGAACATACAATTCTGAGGCTTCTTAGAAAAAAATAAAAGGGGTTGAGAAAAGAAAACAGGTATACGTAAAGACCACCCAGATGAGATGAAGACCCAGAAGGTGCAGTGCTACAAGAGTGAAGGAATAGATGAGGGATCATTTCAGAAACAAATGAAGGATCAGCATTATCAAACCAGGTGGAAAGGTTTAGTCAGGGGAAGGCCTGTTACTGACCTCAGCAAGGCAGAAGACTGGTTATGGTTAGGAGGTCTCTAGGAGATAAGCAACTGGAAGCAGCAAATATAGGTAACTCTTGAAAAATTCCAATGCCAAAAAAAAGTAACTAGACAGAGAATATAGGAGAAGCTTAAGCATGGTTATAGACTAAGGGTAAGGACCCAAGAGAGAAAAAAATGAAGACACACATATGAGAGGAATAAATAATAAAATGTCAGCCCAGAGAAAGCAGAAAGAAAGGATCACGGAGATAGGTGCCTGGGTTGTCTTAAACATTCTTTGAAAGTGGAGAAAAGGAGTTAAGAACAGTTGTGAGACATGGTTCATTTGGTAGGTATGTGGGGAGCTGAGTGAGATCATACCTGGTGTCTTCAATTTCCTTTAGAAGGGGAGTGAACATGTTACCAGAGCCCAGTGAGAGACGGGGAGCTGGAACATACCTGCCCTGTCCCCAGCACACCCAACCAGATGTCAGAGGGCAAAGGAGTGTGGAGAATCTAGACTGCAGAGGTCAACCTTCCAGAGCATAGACAGGACAGACAAGAGTCAAGAAACGGAATGGCTAGCCCAGGGGACAAGCTGATGTGAAAGACTGTGCAAAGATGGCCCCAATACATTCTTGCTAGCTCTCTACATGTGCTCCTTTGAAATGCGACTGCCAGTCAGCCACTTGATCTGACTGATAGAATGGGGTGGAAGTGAGGTTTTGTAACATCAAGAGGCCTCGCAACTTTTCCTCACACCCTCTTGAAACACTAGTTGACATGTAGTAAAGGTGTCTTCTTGAGGATGAACCAGCATGTGGACAAAGAGGTCCAGCCAGGCACGTAAATAAAGCCAGCATGGATCATCCAGCCCCAGTGAGGCAGCCACGGCTCAAGCCACACAAGTGACTCCAGGGAGACCTGTTATTGTTTTAAGGCATTAAATCTGCGGCTGGTTTGTTATGTAGCAATAGATAGTGATGCATCTGGACAGCAGGGGCCTTAAGGGAGGGTGAACTGAGAACGTTCTAGCTTCTCTGCCTCGCCCTATGTGGTTGGTGTAGGTAGTAAACTTGCTGTGTTTTTTGTCTCTTGTTTTGTAAATATTTTATTAAAGTAGAAGGATAAGGAACATTTTCAAATTAAAAATACATTCTAGGCCAATGGTTGCTAGGGGCTTGTGGAGGGGAAGAGGAATGAATATGTGGAATACAGGGGGTTTCTAGGGCAGTGAAAACTATTCTGTGTGGCACTGTAATGGGGGATACGTGACATTATGCATTTGCTAAAACTCAAAGAACTGTACACCACAAAGAGTGGACCCTGATGTAAGCCATAGATGTTTAATAATGTATCAACACTGGCTCATCAGCTATAAGAAATGTTGGTATAAGATGTTAATAATAGGGGAAACTATGATCGGGGGGGCAGGGAGAGACATATGGGAATTCTCAGTACTATCTGATGACTTTTCTGTAAACCTAAAACTGCCCTACAAATAAAGCCCATTAATACATTGTAGCTTTTCAAAAACCATTCTTAACCGGAAGCTACACCAAACTATAATAGCAGATGGTGGCAGGAGAGTGGGGTTCCTTAGGTACCATCAAGAGTGTTCTATAATTTGTTTTCTTTAATATGAGGATCACTAAACTCAAGAACATAGTTTTCTTTTGTGTCAGCTCTACAAATAAAACAATACTGTACAAATATTCCATATTTTGCCTAAGAAAAATATAATGACATTAAAGAACCAGAGAGAAATTATATATGAAATGCTATTTACCACCAAGGAGAAGAGTAAATGTGTCCCCATGTTGATTTTGAAGAGTTCTCATGAAACCTATGGGATCTTTTTGTAACTTCAGGATCAGTCCAAAGTAAGGAAGCCAGCCTTTTAGCAATGGAGGCTCGCCAGGTCTCCTGTAGGAAAAAAGAAAAACAAAAAAAAAATAAGTTAAATAAATTAAATCATTCTTATTTTAATATATGCATGTTATTAATATAGTCTAGAAGTGGACTGAATAAATTACACAGCTGTTTTCCATTATTTTATTTAGTGATTCCTATATAATCACAGAAATATACTTATTGAGCCTCTAGTATGCATAGCTCTGTGGTAGACAGTTCAATTCACAGCTTTTGGTGAGCGACTTTTTAAAGAAATTAGGTATTATAAGGCCCAAATGGCTGGCTGAAAGGACAGATATATTTAGTCAACATTCTGCATCTGAGAGCTCTTGCTGAGCTCTGGGTGTTAGACGTCAGATATCTTAGTAGCCAAAGTAAAGCTCTTCCTTATGAGATCTCGATTAGACTGGAATTAGGTAATTAGAAAGGGGCATTAATAATCTTGAAAATTGTTTTATGCTGTGAAGAGCAATCAAAACCTCAACATCATTCCTACAAAGCACATTTTGTTATAGTCTTTTATGAATATTTTTATTCAAATCACAATGAATAGAAATATTTGTTAAATTTCACAACTTTTTAAAATACATGAAGCATGTTCAGTGAAACACTGAAATACTATGAATTAACAAACAAGTTTCTTCTTTCTTGACCTATATTCCTAGCAAAACTGGAACTCAAAAATTTCTTCCTAGTCATTTATTTGGGAAACGCAATCTAATTTAAAGTTAAAAAAAAAAAAAAAAATCAAAGCCATTTTACCCTAAAAGGAATTAAAACAAATATTCGAGAGAACTCTGGTGATTCTGTGTCCCATCTGTGAAGATGACAATCTATATGCAGTGCAACCCATTTAGATTAATCACAAGATATTACTAGCTCAGATCTAATCAAAGATCAAGATTATGATCATATGCAACATGGACTTTTATGTTCCTAGATTAACCCTATCAGAAGCTTTAATCTTCCCACAACCCAACATGGTGCAATTAAACTTAAAAAAGAAACATCAGGTCTGGGGGGGGGCGGAGGGGAGTAATAAGTTAAGACAAACAAACAGAAAATCCCGAATGTGATAGAAATGAAAGAACTAGTTATCAAAACTTTGCTTTCGCCTGGCCGGTGTGGCTCAGTTGGTTGAACTACACCCTGCGCACCAAGAGGTTGCCAGTTCGATCCCCAGTCAAAGCAATGGCCGGGTTGCAGACTCGATCCCCAGTGGGGGGCATACAGGAGGCAGCCAGTTGATGATTCTCTCTCATCGATGTTTCTCTCTCTCTCCCTCTCCCTTCCTCCCTCTATAAAATCAATAAAATTATTTTTTTAAAAACCATTGCTTTCTGGTTTTAGAAGACAATTTATGTCTATAAAAATTTGCAAAATGTATGCTGCTGCTGTTTAAATACATATACGGTCCTTAGAAATAGGAAGACAAGACACATCCTATTCTTCACCCCTCCCCCCATTATTTTCTGGAATGCAACCTTTAACAATGGAGACTTGGGTTTTTTGAGAAATATAAAAGTGTACAAGAAAATACTGTCACAGTTACTGTTATATCCAAAGATTAAACAAAAAGAACTTGCACGTATGATTGTGGGGCAGGGTCACCAAGTTAGCAGCTGCCAGAGCCCACAGGTTATCAACAATGACCCTTCCAAAATCTGCAGGTGATCTAGTTCACAAAATTTCCTTTCAATATATTAACTCTCTTCTGTGGTCTACTTTGACTCAGTTTTGCTTACTATTGCATGGATGTTGCATTGGGACAAAGATTTTCAAAGGCTTTTTGTCATATTCTAATTTAATTCCACTAAATTTTCCTCTCTGCTTTGTCGCTCTATCAGAAACAGTATTCTTCACAAGATTTCCGCTGGGGGAAAGGATGGAGCTCAGAAATCCAGGGAATTGGTAACTTAACGTCCACAGTTAGGAAAACACATTAGGAGGCCATTTTATTGTTACAAAGATGAGAGGCTCATCATTTCTTACAGCTGTGTTCATTTTGGCAGCAACAGCTTAAAACTATTAAACACCATGTCACAACTTTGCATATTTTCAGGAAAAAATATAGTGCTAGTTCAACTTATGGCCCATTGAAGACAGAAAACAGAAATCTGTCTTCATCAGTATATTCGTAAAAAATAATTTAGGGGAGAACAGATATCACCGTAATGATCCAGACAGTCCCACTTGCACCTGGCACACTACAACTACTGTTATTTGTCTCCCTCATTCTCTGACTTTAAAAATGAAATACTCACTGCCCACTGCTGAGTGAGGGGATAGGATGGCCCAAGTTTCAAAGCGTGAAAGATATAGGTCCTGAAGCAATGATAAGCAACAAAAACAAAACAAAAACAAATATATGGATTCGATAACTTCACATGAGCAGGCAAATAGACACTATGCAAATCGCTGACCTTCTCAGAGAAAGAACTATCTTTACTTAGAAGAACCCTTTCCATGGGTGTGTTTCGTTCCCATAAGGTTCTCTGGGCGTGACCTGGTCTAAAAGATAATGAAATTTCTCTGCACAAGATACAAACAGAAATGTGGGGGTTTGGGATAAGGAGCAAGAGAAATGAAGACAAGACTGGAACACAGGGGACAAAATGGTGAGGCCACCTTATCGAAAGCTGGGACTCTGCGCGAAGGACAATGACAGAGCTAACTGGCAGGGAGGGAGCTTGAAGGAACAGACATGACCAATCTTCAACTCTAAGAAGTTGGTTGCTGGCCTAGGAGCCACATGATCATTTTTTTAAATCTCAACACATTTCGTAAAATCTGTTGTACACACCACATAAGTTACGGCAGAGGCGGTTGGACAGGGAGAGGATCTAGGGTCGTGTCCAGCTCAGGACTTCGCTGGGTGAAGGGAAAGGGTCAAGGACTGCACGTGCAAGGGACAGAACTTAGAGGGAGACTGCGACACAGAGAACACGTGCCCCTCGTCCTGCTTCAGTGTGGACCCTGAAAGGGACTCGAGCTTCCCACCCTACGTAAGACAGAAGTTTCGGCCATGTTTATTTAAAATATTTGTATAAATAAAGTCCTTAGATATCAAAGGTTATCTAAAGTGACCTCAGGCATTGGAGAAGTTGGGTCAGTTGAGCAGTTATCTGAGGCAGGCGAGGGAGGAAGGCATCCCAGTCAGGGTGCTGTATGACACAGAGCCCGTCAATGTTTACTTTTCAGGGAAATTTGGGCACAATGTACTTTTAAGTGAATAAACAGTAGAGTAACTACAGACCCATACCATATTTTTATTTTCCTTAAAAAATTCTGTGGATATAAATGCAAAGAGAAAGGCCTGGTGTCATTTACCACGTTGATGGTTGTAACTTTTGGGTGGTGAGATTCTGGGGGTTTGGCTATCGGTATCTTCTAATTTGCACGACATGAGAGTGCTTCTGATTTTGAAGAGCACTTTTCAGTTATTTTGTAGAACGTCCTTCAATTTGGGCTGTTTGATGGTTTCTCGTGATCAGATTGAGGTTGTAACATTTTTGGAAAGAATTCCACAGAAGCGATGTGCCCTTCTCAGTACATTGTCGTTTTTGAAAATTTTTTAAAATGCTATTTTAGTGTTAAAATGAAAGCCATGTACAGAAGTACAGAAGGCACTGTCTTCTAAAAAGTAGAAGATAGCAAAAAATACACTCTCCAAATGAGTCAAAGGCTGGCTCTAAAAATGAGCGCAACAGTGTTATGAAGGGTGAGTGGAGAAGCCGCCTGGGATTTACCATAGTGACGAGCAGAACCCACCCCACCCACACTTTGAAAATGAAGAGGAGGCACCGCGGTCTGACTGTGTAACTGTACAAGTACGGACACAGTGTCACCCAGGAGGCCCCATTGTTTCCATTAGGGTCTAGGGGACATGCTAATGAGGCAGGCAGCCATAGGAGGGAGGGGTGCTCTGCACCTGGGGGTGCAGCTGCCGGACTGTGACACTGACGTCCCTGATCGTCTCTTCAAGGCTCCACTTAGAGGAAGAAGCCTTGTAGCACAGGGCACACTGTCTCCACCGCCTCACAAAACTCCGAGGCATCTCACGTACAGTGAGGGAACAGGTTAATTTCCCCCCCTTGTATATGATAAATCATATATTCTTTAGAACTCTTAATTCATATGTTGAACATAAATGATCTGCTTAATATTTGTTTAATGCAAGTATCAGACTTACTGTAATCTCTTTTCAGGATGACCATTAATCCAACTCTGTCTAGAAAAATTATGTAATTCATTACCATAAGTAATCTCTATTGTTCCCTGCACTTAACCTTCATTTCTCCCCCCCTCCCCCCCATCCTGTAACCTGGCAAATGTCCTGATGCTGTGTGATTGGCACGTGGTGTTCACAGTCTCTGCCTCACAAAAAGGAAACAAAAACACTCCAGGATGAAAATGCCACTTTCCAGTCTTGATGATTTAACTCTGCTCTTTGGCAACTTTTGTGTCACTCTCGAAAGGTCTGTTAACTTTGCGGGTCATAAATAAGGCCTTTATTCTTGAAATGTTTTGGTTTCATCAGGATGGCAACTGGCTTATAACTTGATTTAATTTCCCAGTAGCAGAAATGTGCACTGTTCAAGCACTTTCAATCAAAGCATTAAATGTAATGGCAATGTAAAAGCAAGCAATACTGGATGGTCACAAATTTTCTATTATTGGCATGGAATTAGAGCAAAACCAGTATGAACATGACTAAATATATCCTCACACCCTAGAACACAACTCTGCAAGCCATATTGCAGTTCAGTCTTTAGCGATCAGTTCATCTCTAAAATTGTGTGATCCGAACAAAGCTTTGTCTGTAAAATGTGCCTTGTAAACTCAATTCCATTAGCAGATTTATACTAATGCCTTGATCAAGTAAGTGATTTGTAAATGCTTCTGTGGATATGAAGCCAAACCACATCCATGTAGGATTTCATTCAGAGAAGTCTATGATTGAGGCTTTTTTAAACTGAGAGAGATGCCTACGTTGGCACCATGGAAATAATGTCAAGGC